GCCTTAGCTCCGCCAATTCCCAAGTGGAACCGTATGATCTGAGAATTGCAGGTGGAACCAGGGACCAGGAGAATTCCAGAGTGGACCAGGGACCAGGAGGATTCCAGAGTGGACCAGGGACCAGGAGAACGTGAGCGGAGGATCTTGATTCTGCCCCAGGGGAAGGAGGTGGTAGGTAGCGAAGGGGGAGATTTCAAGGAGGCGGCAAGGATGGGGGCCGATGTTGGCAGTTTCGCAGAGGACACGAGGGACAAATTGAATGCGGAGAGTGTCTGGATGTGCATGATTGCTCGGTTCCCATGGGTCTCTGTCGGTGATCTTGGGCGCCATCTTCCGTTGATCACATGGGGATTGCCGATCCTCACAGTGCTGGTCTGTGTCTTGACTGCCAGTTTGCTTTCTTGGCTAGTGGCTAAGTCGATCATTGTTGGGGCGAAGGACCGCTATGGATGCAAACTGCGTCTGGCCCCCGGGCCTGCTCCATGGCCAATCGTAGGCAGCCTGCTTCAGCTGCAAAGGCACCCCCATAGAGGCCTGGCCAAGATGGCAGAGCAGTATGGAGAGCTGATGACCGTTCACATGGGCGCGACCCCTACGCTGGTGGTGTCGAGCCCGGCCGCAGCAAAAGAGGTCCTGCTCACTCAGGGAACCACTTTCGCCTCGCGACCGCTGCCGCCAACGGCCGATGCATGGTCATATGGTGGTCGAGACCTCGGCTTCGCGCCATACGGTCCTCTGTGGCGGAAGCAAAGGAAGATTGCCACCGTGCAGTTGCTCTCCCCAAGGAGGATGGCGCAGGTGGATGCAATCCGACGGAAGCTCACCAATTTCCTAGAGGAGGAGCTGTTGAGGAAAGGCCAAGGAGGAGCACACAAGCAGGAAGGAAGAAATATGGGAGCAAAGGAGGAGGTCCAGGAGGGGAATGATCTCTCACCTGCCGCACCCCCCCTCCCGACAGAAAAAACCTCGTCTGTGCCCGAATTGAATCCGTCCGCCGCCGTGCACGGCGGTGCAACAGCCAACGTCGAGATGAGCCACAACCACAGGCAGGTAGCGGAACGTCGAATCTGCCATCCTGCTGGGAATGAGCGGGGTCCCAGTGGATCAGCAGGCACCATGGATGGGCTGCAGCCAGTCCACTTGCGAGAAAACCTGTTCCACTTCGCCCTGGACACATTGACCTATGTCATATTCGGCTCTCCTGTGTCGCCTGCCATGCAGCATCACATGGCAAAAGCCATTGCTACCAGCGGCTGTTCAACGTCAACGATGAGGATGCCGACGAGAGCGCAGGAGCCTGAGGATGGTCTTGAAGATGATGCAACTAGGAGAATGAGCAAAGAAACGTCGCTTCAGACTACGAAGGGAGGCGATGATATTGACGAGGACCAAATGGCGAAAAGATTTTATGATGTGGTGTTGGCAACGACGAAGGCGGTGGGGATGGCACAGGTACCGGACTTTGTCCCGAGTATGAGGCTCTTCTACAGGGGTTATCTCCAGTATGTGCGAGGGGTGTCAAATAAATTCCGCGCCTTGACCCTGGAGCTCATTGAAAAGCGGCGCAAATTCCAACGGAATGTCGCTGGCGACAGCGGAAGCAGTTGCACAAAGCTCGATCACCACCAAGCAGCGTTGAGAGCAGCTGGACTCATTAATCCAGATGCAATGGTGGACGTGGTCTTCAATAACCTGTCTCCTCCGGGAACTAGCACGCCCAAGAACTTGGCGGCTTCTACAATGAAGGAGGATGATGTGGCGTACGGCGAGACGGAGGCCTGCCTACTGTTAATGGACCTCGTGTCAGGTGGCACCGACACAACGACCTCTACAACTGTTTTTCTTCTGATGGAATTGCTGCGCCATCCGGAGAAGATGGCACTGCTGAAGGCGGAGCTAGATGAGGCCATAGGAAAGCACGAGGTTCCATCGCAGAATGATCTGGAGAATCTTCCTTACCTCAATGCCGTTCTGTATGAGACGCTGCGTCTGCACAGTATTGCTCCCACGCTCATTCCCCATCAAGCTATGAAAGACGCCGTAGTGTTTGGATATGACGTGCCGGTAGGCACTTCGGTCATCGTCAATGCCTGGGCTATTATGCACGACCCTAAGGTGTGGTTGGAGCCATGGGAGTTCCGGCCCGAGCGGTTCATTCGAGACGGACTGCTGGCCGACGACATGCATCCTGATGGAAAGAACTTTGAGTTCTTGCCGTTTGGATCAGGAAGAAGAATGTGTCCCGGAATTCGGCTCGCACTGACCACTGTGCGATTTGTTGTGTCCAGGTTGCTGCAGCGATTCGATGTTATGTTGCCACATGGCATTAAGCCAGAAGACCTAGACCTTTCTGAGCAGGACGGACTCGTTTTGTTCCCGGAAAACCCTGTGCCGGTAATCTTTCGTCCGAGATCAATGGGGTAATAGGGTAGGGTGGGGTAGACTTGATTCGTAGCCGGCGGCCTAGGCTAGGGTCCGTAGCATAGAGTAAGAGCATGTTCACACCAGGACGTTTTTGGTGGGTGGCATAAGAGTAAGGCCATATTCAACCATGACTTCTTTGCTTGGCTCTGGACTTGAGCGCACCCGCATTCATCAAGGTTGTGCCATAATCGCGGGCAGATACATTTAGGAAAGTACTAGTTTGAGAGTATGCCTGAAGACTGGATCCGGAGAGCTTATTTGCTTTGATTCATAGCTGCACTTTTTCGGCCGACATTCATAGGGTCGGTAGGGATAGGTTAAGGGCAGACTCACACTAGGACTTTTTCTGCTCAGCTCTAGACGTTATTGTGGTCACATTCATACAGGTTGGGCCGTGATTGCGGGCAGGTACGTTTAGGAAAGTACTAGTGTGAGTATGCCCTAAGATTGATTCGCAGAGTTTTTTGGCTTTGAGTCCTTGAGGCTTGAGGTGATCCGTATCGGCAGTTCTTCGGTGGACATCCATGATAGGGTCGGTACGGATAGGGTTAGAGGTTAAGGAAAGTACTAGTTTGAGTATGCCCTAGGATTGGATTCGCAGAGCTTCTTTGTGTTTACTCTTTGAGGTGACGTGGATGATGGTACGGTGAGTGTACTGTAAGGCGGTGCCACTGGCTGATAGTGCACCTTAGACTGCCTCCGAATTGGTGCCGGCATGCCCTCTTCTCCCCAATAGAAAGTACGGTCATATGCTCTTCTGAGGAAGATGAGTGGCACTGGCTCAGGGGATGGTGTTTAAAAATCTTGAGTGATTGTGGGCACATTCACACTTAGGGTATGATCCCACCACTACACTACAGCCCAGGTACAGTGTAGTTTTGAGATCCCACGACTTTCAGTTGTTGTCGCGGCCGCCGAAATGTTTTGCATGTGTTTCGTTTGGGTGTGTCATGGCAGCATGCCCACGAATGGCGCGAACAGTTACTACGACTTTCATGTAGACTGCGAGGGCTTCACGGCCTCGAAAAAGAGGGAGCACTTTTTCTTTTTTTTTTCCATATTTTTCGCTTGTCCGTTTGTAGAGGTTGGGATGTCCACTGGGGCAACGCGTGCCACAAAACCATCCACCTTGAACTGGCGCCCATAAAGAGGCGCCGCAGGTCCAGGAGGACCACCAAATAACTCTGCGCTGTGGGTCCCCGCCATGGTCGCTGACGTCTTCGTAGTACTTTTTCACCACTACATTGGCAGTGTAGTGGTGGGATCAGACCCTTAGTCTAGCACATTTTCAACTGTGCCCTCTCTCTGGACGTAATTACAGTCAGATGCACCCGCGTCTACGCGCAGTTCTAGTCAGATACATTTACTAGAGACTAAGGGACATGCGTCCAGTGTGAGCATGGGCCTGATTTGGTCATAAGAAAGGGGTAGTAGGGACATCAGTTTGAACCACAAACAGTATATTTAGCTGTGTATAGAAGCTTCACGTTCTCTACTGTTGTGGTTCAAATGTTTGTGCGAAACTGAGGCCGTCGCGCTTAGGAGAAAAAAAAAGAAAAGAAGAGAATGCCTGCGGCACTCTTGGTGTCAACCAACTGAGATAGTTGGCTTGCTCCCCGTGTTTGGTATTAGTAATAAACACTGCTGTTACTCGATGGGAGCAGGGGAAGTAGATGGGAGGCGCAGCTACTGGCCAAATGCCCGGTCTTTGCATTAGCACCCTACTCCCTGACCACTGCCCATTAGTGCATGGGGCACTGACAAAATGCTCGGTCTTCGTGTTACCCGGTCTTTGCATTAGCAGCCCAATTAATGCATGGGGCATTGACAAAATGCTCGGTCTTCGTGTTACCCCCCCCCCCCCCGGCCAAACAGCTGGCCCACCCTACTCCGTCACCACCGTCCATTAGGGTGGGGCCCAACATTCATCCCCCTTCGTTGTGAGCGGTAGTTATACTTGCAGGTGTCCCCTGTATAGGCTTACGAGGAGTAGTGGTGGGTAGATACTGAAAGGTGAATTTGACAGAACAATATAGCTTAGTGGAAAAAAAAAAAAAAAGTTTGCGCTGCGGTGATGGTCTTGTCACCCGGCACCTGTTGTATCATCACCTAGTCTTTCGACACATGGCTGCTTTGATGAGCGTCTCTTCACTCTCAGCCATCCATTGGAGGAACGTCATCATCTGCAAGAATGTGACATAATATCCCTGCTGCACCCGTGGTGCTGCTTCAGCCTTTAGATGAAGTGGCGGTGCTTAGCGCACCGGCTGGTGGGTGTGTGCAACGATGAGTGGGTACAGCGTGTGAATGCTGTGTTCTTTTTGGGATGCTAGGCCCTGTTCCCATCACGTGCTGCTCCTCACGAATAAGACTGGAGCCATCACGCAATGGCGCACCTACAGCAGGCATGGTGTGGCGCCTTAATTTGTGCTACCCACGAATAAGACTGGAGCCATCACGTAATGGCACACCTACAGAGTTTGGTGAGTGGTGCAGCAAGACCCATAGGACTGGTGCAGACTTGCAGAGAGAGTCCGGGAGGTGTTGTTTAGCGACGTTTTTGTTTCTTTGACGAATGCCGTCCAGTGTTACTTTTTTTTTTTTTTTTTTTTTTTTTCGGTTTGGGAAATGCAGTTTAGCCACGTTTTTGTTTCTATGGCGAAGGACATCTGGTGCTACTTTTTTTTTTTTTTTCCCGGTGTGGGAAGCGCAGTGGGCTTCTTTCTTCTTTTATTTTTTTCCCTGGGCAAAGATACGGAGCGAGTGTGGAAACATTTCTTCCTTTTCCTTTTTTTTCTAAATTTGGGTTGTGAGGTTGTTTCCGGGCCTGAGGCGGTGTTTTTTTTTTTTTGAAGGGGTCGGTGGGCAAGTACGTTTGTGTCACAAACGAAGTTCAAAAGGGCAAAAAAAACAATAATGGGCAACGAAAAAATGGCCGTAGTTCGAAAAGGCAGTCATAACATCAGAAGGCGGTAACATCAGGCCCCGAGTTTGAAAAGGGCGGTTGTAGCACACACTTTCGCGGCCGTGGCCAATCTGGGGTGTGGCTGAGACATGTCGGCCGTGGCCAATTTGGTGTGTGGCCGAGACATCTCGGCCATGGCCCAATTTGGGGTGTGGCCGAGACATCTCGGCCATGGCCCAACCATGGGGCCTTTTTTTTTTTTTTTTT